ACGCGTGTTTCTCTAAACATGGAGGGAGCAACCGGAGGACTTGGAGAAAAATCAACGCGACCACGGGGAGAGAGACGCAAACTACAAATATACAGCAGCAGGCGTCAGGATCAGGAACGAACCCCACGACCTCCTGCATACCAGGCGAGGTAGTTAACATCTCGCCACCACAGCACTCCAAGATCTGAGGCGTTTTATTAGCAGACAATCACGGTAAGAGGACTTAAAGTGTCAAAATAGAATTGCATAAAAAGCCTCTTTAAACGTGTGGTGTGCTGTTTCCTACTTTTCTTGGTTACATCAGGCAGCCTTCAGCAACAACAGTTGAGAATAAGCAAAAAAAGAGAGCAAAATTGCTTACTATACATAACTGTTGGATATTGTGAAATCATTTGAATGCCAAAAAAATGCCTGGACATTTTATAATGGATAATTATATGGATGCAAACATGCGGAGAGGCTAAAATGTGCCTTCAGATAAATCATACATTTCTAAAATTTAATAATGATGGATTCCTGAAAAAAAAAGTGTCTTTGAATTCAAACTTTCAAGGCTTCCCCAAAGAACTAAAGAAAAAATAGGCTGTTGTTCAACTAATGCTTGTTGCCAGTCAAATGCAGTTCTATTTCACCGTCCGTTGTGATATGTTCAAACAGAACCTGATGAACACACACGCACAGCCCTTGTTTCTTGTTGTTCACCGGGCAGCAACATGGCTCAGAGGTTCGTGGTTCCAATCTGGCAGGCCGCACCGGTTAATATTGTATGTTTGCTTGTCGAACTTATTTTGCACCGTACGTAGCCAAGCGTGCACATCGGTGGTAAGAGATAAGGGCAACAACCTAAACACAAAACGCAGTTCTAAAGAAATTATATTTTCAATCTGGATTTAAAAGTGCGTAGCTCCAGTGACTTCCGAATATGCGAAGGAAGAGCGTTCCAGACGGCCGCAGAAGCGCGTCTGAAAGACACAGTGGACGTTAAACATTCCCTGACGTCATTCGAAATGAGTGGAAACATCGTGGGCTGACGTCATAGTACAAATTGCGCAATTGCTGTAACCACCCGCAAATTCCTAATTGTAGCATGAACAGGTCATGTCTTTTTTAATGCATTTTGAAAGCTATTACCACTTAAAATAAAATAAAAATTCGATAATATTATCCCGATTAGGCTATGAACGTCATGTCTTGAGAGGGAGTAGCCATTCCAGAGTCTCACAGAGCAGTGGAACCCTTCGTTTAAGAAAATAGTCCACGGAAGTAAATATCAAAGAGCTACTCGTGACCTCTGAGTCGCACTGTAGGACGCAGTGACTTTCCCACCCACTATGAAACTTGATATAATATTTGTTGCATGACAGTCGGAGCGGTGTTCATCCTTCTCGGAGCTGGAATTGTAGAACATGAAATGCATACTCGTTGGTCTTTCGGTAAAGTCACGCGGATAGAAAAATAATGCTAGTAGGAACCTCCTGGTTACACCAGCCCACAGGGGATTATTGTGTCCGTCCGTCCGTCGTGCAGGGAGGGGCTGGGTGGACGGGGGGGGCTGGGTGGGGAGGGGAGGGTGGGGAGGGGCTGGGTGGAGAGGGTGGGGCTGGGGTGGGGATGGGCGGGGGACTGGGTGGGAGGGTGGGGAGGATGGGGAGGGGCTGGTGTGGAGGGGTGGGGCTGGGTAGGGAGGGGCTGGTCACCCCGTGGTGCCCTTATAAAACTCAACGTTTAACCTACTCACGCCGGCTTGTGCCCGCCCTCACAGTCGGGCATATTTGCGGAACACACCACGCCGCCGTTGACCCTGACCATTGACAGAGCAACCCAACGTTCCTACCAGCTCCCTCCGCAGGAATGTGTTTTAAAAAAATCACGACACTTCGAGCGCAACACAAGCAATCGTCTTCAGGTGAAAAAACACAGCAGGCGAACTGCTGAGGCAGGAGAAATATAGCGAGAGAACTACTGCAGCAAGAGGTTATATCGGTTTGAGATTAAATGCATGACTACATTCAATAACGACGTGTTCTTTTTTAATCAATGCGGTCATTCGTCACCAGGCTGAGGCCATCAACTCACTAAAATCGACGACCTGGTTCCATCACAGATAGCTGCCTGGATTCAAACCCAGGATTCTCGGCCGTGGCAGTGTAGCGTCTTCCCTTCTGAGACACCCCAGCCACATACTTATCAGTGCAGGCCTACTGACCACGACACCGACCCTAATAAGATGAGGACAAAGGTCCCCCGTATAGACTTAACCGACTATTGGGGCAAAGTGCTGTTAGCGAGCACCTATGAAGTGCCGTTACAGCCCACGAACACCCAGCCGCCTTTGTCTCCCTCGTGGCGATGTTTAACCCAAAGCATCACGTACTCATTTGAGGCTGAGTCCGACCTAGGGGATGCCCACGACCGGTGCAGAAGATCGTCGCTGGCGTTGTTGACCGTGTGCGGGAACTCGTGTCCGCCCGGGTTCGTAGCGTGGCGTTCTAATAGCCACTGCACTCCCATAATAATACAAATCGTTCACACACACACACGTGTGACATCAACGTGCTTACTCAACCGGCCACTGCGTCTCACCTGTGCGTATAATTACAGGAGCAGCATGCACGGTCACGCCATCCCCAATTGGATTAATCGGGTCACGTAGCTTTCTTTGGGTCACTGTGCCCGAGCATTACGGCTCTGTCACGCTGTACGGACGTACGGTACGTTGACCTTCTTTCTCACCGTACGTAGCGAGCCGTGCTAATCGGAGGTGCTGGTGAATGCAATAAAGCAAGAGCAGTAATGGCAGCAGCAGCAGCTAAGTGTCGTGCAAAGGTCACGGTTCAAAATAAGCTAAGCGAGTTCGGAGAATTGTTTTTGAAAATCCAATGTTTTTTTTGATAAAAAAAATTTTCAACATTAAATGATTTACAATTGGGAGAAAACGTTGGCATTTTTTCGCAGGTTGGACTTATTCAGACTTTGCAAGTGTTTGAATGAACGTTGGTGTGTGTGGGGAGCTCGCTAACAGCATTTACTGAAAGCCAATATGGAGAATCTTTGTCTTTGTGTGTGTGTGTTTGTTCAGGCCTCGATTGCTCAACCTGGGCCCCCCTCAAGCTGATCGATGATCTTCCCACCTCTTCTCTTCTCTCGGGGGCAGGTGGCTACAGAAGACCTGGGTGTCGTTCTCGTTGTTGTATTAAGGATCTTTCTATCAGAACACGTGCGGCGTTTTGCTTCCGAACGCGACGCTCACGCGTGTCATCCGGGGGCCGTTTGGGTTTGTTGTTGTTGTTGGATGTTTTCTTCCGAACTTAATTTGGAGCTTTCGTGACTGCAGGAATTACTATTGGTTCTTTCGGTAAAGTCACGTATAAAAAAATGTAAATATTTATTTTATTTTATTTTCTCTTTATACGTGACTTTACCGAAAGAACCAAAGAGTATTTTCTTCCGATTGTGTCCCAAGTGGCACTGTCATCTTTCTCAGAGCACTGCATCCCTGGATAACCCGCAGCTACTTATGCGACCATTCAAGTGACCTCTGGTCACACAGCAGTAAAAAGGCAGGGACTTTTTCACACACTCTGAATATGAAAACAAAATGTCCCACTGCATCTCAGTACAACCGATTATTATAATTCTCATGGCGGGGGTTTAGGCAAAAATAACTCCAGGAAACAAATGTAATGTGATGGGTGATTTATTGTGAGTTATTGATGACTGGGCTGAGGCCATCAACTCACCACACGGGAGGATTTCAAGCCAGGATGTCAACGGCGCTCGCTCAGTGCTCTGAATTCTGATCCACCCAGACAACCTGTGTACGATGTTTCTGATAACTTCCTCTCTCCTCGCTCTGCTCTGTATTGGACCTATGCATAATGCACCAATCTGTAGGGACACAGGGCATTTGAAATCTGTCGTATCTTCAGTGACTCCGTGTAATCTCATCCCTATCACATATTCTGATCATATTATCTGTG